CGCCCTCGTTCCCGACTCGAGTACGGCTTATTCCGAGAGCGCTGGAGACGGTACGGCCCGCGGCCCGGTTTGGCCCGGGACCGCGCCCTCGTTCCCGACTCGAGTACGGCTTATTCCGAGAGCGCTGGAGACGGTACGTCCCGCGGCCTGGTTTGGCCCGGGGCCGCGCCCTCGTTCCCGACTCGAGTACGGCTTATTCCGAGAGCGCTGGAGACGGTACGTCCCGCGCTCCTGTTTAGCCTGTGTCTGTGCCCTCCTTCTGTACTCAAGCTTGACTTAGTGCCTCTCTGATCCCCCCATTGCCACAGCAGACGCTTCAGACATAGTCACAGCGCCAGATGTGTTCTTAATGACAATGCCTATTTTAAGACCATGGTGATGATTGCCTGCAGGAAGCACTGTTACTACCTGGTAGGCTTTGTGATGCATATTCATTTAATTAATTACAAGCTAATGTTGGAGGTATGCGTATTTCCTGGCTGCTTCAGGGAGCTGGATTCTTCTCTGCTTCATCTTGGCTTCGTCTTGATTTCTTCTTGGCTTTGTCTCGGCTTCATCACGGCTTCATCTTTGTTTCTTCTTAGCTTCGTCTTGGCTTTGTCTCGGCTTCTTCTTGGTTTTGTTACGGCTTCGTCTTGGTTTTTTATTAGCTTCGTGTTGGTTTCTTTGCTTCGTCTTGGCTTCTTCTTAGCTTCATCTTGCCTTCTTCTTGGCTTTGTCTCGGCTTCTTCTTGGCTTTGTCTCGGTTTATTGCTAATGTTTCTGTCCCCCCACCATCTTTTTCTGCCTCTGTGTTTCACGGTAATTCTACTACAGTGGTCATTTCAGTTATTCAGTCATTTACCACTATCATCGGCAATTAGCTATGAGAAAATGGACGGCAGCATCTACGTCCATCTACAATAATTATCTGAAATTACAGCTCATTAGATAATGAGGCAGAACAATAAATATGCACATTAGCGCAGTTGTGTTTTTGAAAAGATATTTATTTTGAAATCAAGAGCTCACTACTTAAGTAATATCATTGTTAACACATTTATTTGTAAGCAACTGGGGCGTGTGAGATGTGATGAATAATTGGTAAAGATCCACTTAAAAATTTATTATTGTTGTCCGTCGAAATCAATAGTTATTGTATGGCAGGGATCTCCAACTCCGGTCCTGGAGAGCTACTATCCAGTAGGTTTTCTATCCTACCTGGCTACTGATGAGAAACACTAGTTCTCAGGTAGGATAGAAAACTTACTGGATAGTAGCTCTCCAGGACCGGAGTTGGTGACCCCTGTTCTATGGATTCCATAGAAGAGACGTGCAGCATGTCGGTGCTGTGGTTTGATCCTCTGACAGAGATACACGCTGACGTTCTGAGTGTGTCTCCATTTCAGCACCTAAAATGAGTCAGCCTTGAGGAGCAGGGGAATATTACATATTCAGCATAGCGTAATGGCAAGCCAGTATTATGAATAATTCCCTTAGGGTATTCCTGTGGTTGTAGATGGTTTAACTCCCTGTCCATATGTGATGTCCTGCACAGCTCAGGCTTTCAGGCTCTTTTATCTCTGGCTATGCATTGCCACTTTCATTGGCTCGCCAGAGCTGGACACCCAACATGATTTTGATGTATGTGAGCAGTGTTCCTCAGCGGGATGGCATGCAGATTAATTGGCTTGTATGTTTCCATCAGCTTTGGACGCTCCAAGGGTCCGTGGAGGCCTTGTAAATGTATAAATTAACTGGGGGGTGCCTCTGGTTCTTGTTCATGCACAGGTGATTCACTGCAGCGTAAAGCACCTTCATTTTCAGCAGAATTACACAGGAGGCCCATGAGGATATAGTGTTCGGCTCCTCCTAAGGCTCCAAAGCCAAAGTCTGTCGGTGCTGGGGGGCTGAATGTCACTGTACTGGAAAAGGGCCATGAATGTCCCGCAGTTACTGTGCAAACAGCGTCCTGGGCGGGGTGCACCGCATGCTTTGTAAGAGACCATCCGTGTGCGTCATGGCACCCAGGACCTTCTGGGAAGCAGCCACTGTTACCAGCCATCCTCCACATCTGAGCCCAAGTGGGAGGGTCAAGAGGCCCCACATTTTGAAGTATTTGCCAAAGGGTGGGTGTGAAAATGCAAGGCGCCTTTGAAAAGGCAGCCCGCTGTGCAAACATTCCAGCGAGACGTCATGTGCACAAAACTGACCTCCCTTCAGCTGCAACGCGGTGTCCAGCACTACCGGCTCCCCCGCCCCAAGCTGCCCAGCACTGATTAACGTCCTGCAGTCAGTTCCGGAAAATCATCCGTGGACGTGAGACACGTTTGGCCTGATGGAATAGGGAATGTTCGCTTTTGTTCTCTTTTGATTTGTAGTCATTGTTAGACCTTAAAACACCCAGTTCACACAGAGAAGTGGTCACCCAGCTTTGATGCCATGTATAATTCATGGAATATTTTACTTATATTGTTAAGCAATTGGAATATGCTGTATTAAAAACCACAGAATATGTGCCAGGTGTTCATAGCAATGGTGAATAATAGTCTTTATTGTAAACATTGGTAAATATAAGCTGCATTTTGTGGTTAATGTTTGTTTGCTTGTTCACTGGCTTCAGATGAATCCCCTGCATGGTGTTTCCCCCTCCAGCCCCCGCTGACACTAAGGAGGTTTCATTAATGAAAGTGCCACCCCCGGCTTGCTGCTGTTTCTCCTGCTCACTTCACCTTTAATGACACTGCGAATCTGCCCCTGCTCTGCGACACTGACCTCTGACCTGGGGAGCTGAGGAGCAGAGAATGACCTGCCATGCTGGCCCCTCCCACACCCGTGTCCCAAAATGTGAGCTATTAGCGGGCATTAGTTTGGCAGTGAGGTAAAGCGAGGGACAGAATGTACTCTGTAAGTTGCTGAAGACGCTCCCCCAGCACAGGGTTTGTGTTTCTTTTGGTACTGATGCTTGTCACACCCCCCAGTGAGGTTTTCACGGGTGTCTCACACAGGCGTTTGTCTCACTGGGTACAATGTCAAGCCCTGGTGATAATCTTGGCCGCGGATCGCTGGCGCCTGCTTGTCACCCTCACCGGTCCTGAGTGTATCGCTGACTCGCGAAGCCTGGATGTGTCCATCAGCACAGGATGACACGTGTCATGTAAGATGCATGGCGTCTGTAAAGCTTAGACCTTCCCTTTCTGCTTCCGCTTTATGGCTGTGAGCAGAGAGGGCTCCAGGGCTGGGCCAGGCGCGGTAGCATGTGCCTGACATATTATAGGGGAAACGCCAAACCTCTCAATTGCTTTCACAGTTACAGCCCTTCTGTGGCCAAACACCCATCCCATTTTATGCTGCCCTTCACTGTCATTCCTCCCTGCTGCTCCTGTTATCCC